TCATGGGTACCGGTTACTCGCTGAGGACGACGATGAGCCAATGAACGGGCCTGGTCCTGGGTTGTTGGAGCAGGAAAATGCATGCCCCGCTGCCTCACCCGGCTGTCAGGTCCCGCAGCCAAGCATCTAAGGCGTGCGGAGCAAATCTGGCAAACATGCACGTCTGTCGAACGTCGTCTACTACAGTCCCCTTGAGTTCGCTGTTTCTTCTGTCTGTCAAAGCTTGAGGCAAAAAGGCTAACGCCAACATCCCTTTGATGCATTGCAGGTGAGCTTGCCGGCCAACGCCACCACGTACCACGACTTCGACGACGAGGATTTGCAGCAGCACGGCATGCATCTTATATGCTTTGTACATATATATATACATCCACACGCATATGTCTATCTGTCTAAAGTGTATATACACGTATACATACATATGTTTGTTGTGCATGCACATTCCCAGGCACATCTACGCATGCACGTAGACAGACACACTCATGTACACAACTATGTATGTAGCCGCATAACTATCGGAGCTTTCGCAGATGCTTGGGGAAAGGGACGCAGCAACGCCTGTCGGGCATCCTCCCCATGCATCTACATACATGTATGTATGCATGCATGCATGCATGCATGCATGCATGCATGGATGTATGTATGTATGTATGTATGTATGTATGTATGTATGTATGTATGTATGATTGTATTGTATGGAAGTGTATTGCATTGCACTGCACTGTATTGGATTGTACTGCCTCGTATCGGATTGTATCGTATGCACATGCACCATGCACAAGCGCTTGCATAGGTACAGACACCCACACAAGCATATGTAATATATATATATATATATAGATATATATACACACACACATTATGCAGAATCATACTATTGATGAAGCAACGTTCTTGAGAAGTAGCCTGCCTATGTCGTGAGCCTTGGCCTGGAGGACTTCGACGATGAGGAGGAGGCCCGTTGCAGGGCGGCTTAGGACAGGAAGATCTCGGGGAGCTACTGCAAGGATTTTGCAGCCACCATCACCAGGCAGCATTCCCACCAAACCGCAGATTCGTACCGAGAGGCTGCAGCCACTGAAATGTGACAAGGTTGGCAGTGCCCACAGTCCCGATAGCTTTTAGCGCAACCAAGAGGTCAGGATGACCGGTAAAGGGCTAAACCAAGCTGCAAGCTGCGGCCAGTTCAGTGACTACTCGGATGACCCTATGGAAGAACAGCTCCGCGAGCAGGCCGGAAGCGTAACATCACAGCGCACCAAAAAAGACCTGCAGACCCTCGGACCCTGCAGGTTCAGGGCATCTGTATGGGCCTGGTACCTCACTTACTGCGCCAGGAGAGCAAGACTGATAGCCCATCATCTTGGGGACATGTCTACGGCAGAATACAGTGGTGGAAGGGACTTCCAAAAAGGCAGGTCAGCTCAATGCTTCCCCATCCCTAACCGAGGTTTGCTTGGCGCACCATGTACTGCGAGGGCCGCCCCTCGTAGGCCTTTCACGTCAGAGCCGACTGCTTAATGAGAAGGACTTGAGCCTGCTGTTTTAACAACACGGTCACTTCTTTAGCTCTGGGATTCTGGTTTCAATGCTGCAAGCTGGCAAGATCTGCTTTTCCCAACATGAAGATGCCAACATCGGGATATTCAAAGCCGCATGTTGTCCGTTGTTTGTCAGATCGTTGAAAAAGGTTGCACAGAACCCCAGATTCGGCAGGACCTGCTGGAGGAGCTGATGAGTCTGCGATATTGGGATCTATCCTCAGGGAACTCCCAGCACTGTGGCAAACCTCCTTCGTGAGCGCTCGCCCTGCAGTGTGCAGACTGGCTCTTGCCTGCTCTGTCGACGCACTGCAGGTCACGCATCGCAAGACACCTTCGGACTGGAGCCAAAGACTCAGTGTAACATAGTGCAACAGAGGCAATGCTATCTGGACTGTCTGCGAGAACATGCAGCACGAACGCACAAACAAGAGCGGTCGCAAGAGCAACAACTGCGGACCTGATGAAGTGAAGTGTCCATTTATGCGGAGATGGCGTCGGGAACAAGTATGGCCCCCTGAAGCTCTCGCATTGCAAGCTTTGGTTGCAGACTGCATGCACTCAGTGCTATCAGTCGTGCTATAAGCCCTTCCGTTGGACGAGACGTGGCTGGAGAGGGATGGGTTGGTGGAGTTTAATTTACATGTGCTTAACTCACACAGCGAGAGTGGGATTGCAAACAAGTGCATGCATGGAAGAGTGGCCGGGGGGGAAGTCGATTAACTGTTGGATTTCATAGGCTTGCGGCAGAGGGAATTACCTCCGCAGGGAGTGACATGCAGTCGCACAGTCAGTGGCACGATGTCACAAACGTGGGGTCCCATGGCACCTCACGCGCTCTGGCACCTGAGGCATGGATCGATTGAGGACGGTTGCCCTCAGATACTCGCACCCCAACCCCATGGAGGCCGCATCCACACTTTCACTGGGCTCCTAGTGGTGACAGTTTTCTGGATGCCAGGTCCACGGGCCACAACCCGACATGTCCTACATCCTGCGGCACGCAGGGGTCTGAATCACTCAGTAAGTCTTAAGTTACTTGTACGTTGCAGCAAAGCAGAAGTACTGGCGGTGATGTCCACTGATGTGCGGATCTTCTTCCCCTGGCTCAAAAAAAATGCACGGGTCAAAGCCACCGAGGGGAGCCCACGGGACCCGACCTCCACGAAATCCTTAGACAAAGCGAGCTCGGGCCTTGGCGAAAGTGGTTCGAAGAATCTTCGCTGATCTTCGCTCTTGTCAGGCGGACGCCTCAGCTCTCCCAGAGGAGGTTCGGGGAGAGCTGCCATCGGGCATCATACAAACGCCGATCTTTGCATCCCGGAGGTGTGCGGCATCTTGACACCTCGGTGGGTTCAATAGGAATCGACGGAGGCTTCGGCAGCAGTGCAGGCGGAGGCCTTTGGGCATTCGAGCTTCTAACTGTGCCACGGGAAGTCGATCCGGGCCTGGGCTGCAGCACTGCTGAGCCTCTCCGCTGCTGTGCAATCTCTGCATTCTAGCTGCTTGCAAAGTCCCTCTTGTTCCCCCAGCAGTACAATTCCGCGGCGGGGCCACCGAGGAAGGCGGAATTCATGGGAAAAGCCAGCACTTGCGAATTCGGCGAATTGTGGTGTCGCCACAGTTCCCTTCATCAGATCATATAACATGATCTCTCTCTCTCTCTCTCTCTCTCTCTCTCTCTCTTCTCTCTATATGTATGTATATATATATATACACACACACACACACATAGGTTTGCAGGGGTGCCGTCGTTATTCGGCATGTGCCTCGGGCTCGAACTGGGCGTTCACCGGGAGGGTGAAGTCGTGCTGGCCACAGTCCCGTAAGTGTTCTCGGTGCTAATCGTGCTCCTGCTACAGGCTGGGGTGATCTCGGGCAGGGTTTGGCTTAGTTGGATGGGGGGGGTCTGCGTCCCTGGACGCCATGCATTGCTCGTTCCGGCTTGACTCAATCATCCCTCAGCCCAAGCCCCCATGCTTAAACCCCAAAACGGCAAGCGCCTGGCGCCGGCCGTGCCAGGCGCAGGGATCTTTGGAGGCCCTCTTGAGGATGCTACGCTGCTGCCGAGCGCTGTCGGGGCCACATTGTGGGTCCTGCGTGGAGGTATGTCAATGTCGAAGCTGAAGTATTTCCCCAGATGATGAGAAACCATGCTAGCGTAAGAGGTTGACTGCATTCCAGCTATTGCAGTTCAGGCTACGATGCTTCCGACGCTCGAGGGGAGTCTGGCCCTCACTGGAGCGGGGATGGTGTCGGATGAACAGCCTGACAGCTTCGGCAGCACCCGGGCGGGGTTGCGGGCCGCTTTTTATTGCTTATCACGGCAGTGCTGCAGCCATTTGTGGTCTCTTACAATTGCTGTCGAGTCGAAGCAAACCGACAGCGCCTGCAGGTCAGGTGACCTCAAGCTTCGACAAGGCCCCACAGTTGGCTCCGACAGTCTGACGCCTTCGGTTGTGGGACGAAGGAACTTTGGGAGGTGGCCGGTGGCTCCGGCCGAGGCTGGCGAGCCAGCAAATTGCCGCTGTCCGTTCAGAGCTTGGAAGCTCGGCGCCAGAGGGAGACTCAAAAGACCAGAGCCAAGGCCCGAGAGGCGAGATCTGGTATGGCAGCCACCCTGCCTCCACTCTGAGGACCCGTCACATTGAGGTCTCGTGGCAACAATTGCAGTCCTTGCGGTGATTGTGGGCAGGATGAGCGGGTCCTGATCGTTCTCGGAAGCGATTTCTGAGCTGGCAGGATGTTGGACACACTGCTCAGAAGCCGCCTTGCGGGGATTAATGATACCCAACGCAACAAAGCAAAAGTGATTCAAACACAAAGGCCTCTTTGCAGATGGGTGCTGTCCCAAGCGAGTGCAAGCAGAGCTGCGAGCATTCGATTTTGCTCTAGCTGCGGCGCCAGCTTCCGAATGGAAGGCCGTTGCAAACGCAAGCGCCTTTTTAGCAGAGCAAGTTAATGACCCTGGACCGTGCGAATGCGCATGCCAAGCTCGGAGTGCTATAGGCAGACATGAGAGGTTTCGAAAGATGATGCGTCCTAACACCAGTAAACTAGTAAAAACTAGTAACTAGTAACTAGTACTTCTGAACATGTGTTCATGCCCAACCGGCAGGTTTGGGCATCTTCGCGGCTTGGTCCCTGTGGAGGATGACGCAAGAAAAGCCTTCCAAAGAAAGGAGTACCAAGTCGCAGAGGCCCGGCCCGCCGGGCTTGATGGCTTCATGGTTTGGGGATGTCAAGGCCTGGCTTTAGGCGTAATTGGGCTGAGCTCCGGATCTGCGACTAGAGAAGCCGAGAGAGCTCGGACTTTCATCGGACCAGGTGTCCACTGCCACTGGGTGTAATTAAGGACTTGTCATAGCCGACTCACGCGTGCCCTGGCATGTCTAGCCCAATGTGCTATGTGCCAAACCGCAGCATCTTTGTCAAAGCAGTGCCCGTCCATATAGTGAGATGCTACGAGACCCCTTTCGGGACACGGATGATGTCCAGTGGCAGCCCAGCGAGCATGTGCTGCAGCGCACAGCCGTGGTCTTTACTGCTTTCTTGAGCTGCTTTTTCGTGGCTGGACTGACGTTCGGATTTTCCGCTTTAATGCCGAGTCTAGTGGATGACGGGGCTTTTCACGAGGAATGCATTCACAAGGAACGCAAGACTTGCCACGCGCAGCGTTTGCATCTCGTTTGGGTTTTCACGCTGGGATCATCCGCCTCGGCACTTTCCACGCTGCCTCAGGGCATCTTATTGGATTGGCTCGGACCCAGGATGTGTGGACTGATCTTCAATGCTACTGTGGCTGCAGGATGTGTGTTGTTCTCCATGGGTGGGTCGGGGCTATGGCAGGCTGCATACACTATGGGCTTCGTTCTGATTGCAGTAGGGGGCTCCGGCGTTTTCGTGAGCACCATCAGCTTCGGCAATCTCTTCCCCAACAACTCTGGCCTCATCTTGGCGATGCTGGTTGCCTGCTTTGATGCCTCGATGGTCATATTCGAGTTGCAAGCACTTCTTATTTTCTCGGGCATGACCGTCCAAACTACTATGCGTCTTTATGCGCTTCTTCCTGCAGCTCTTGCAGTGGCAGCCAGTCTTCTCTGGCCCTCAGCAAACGTACCGGGCGCACAGGAGCGCCGTTCGGACGATTCCAAAAGTACTGACTTCTGGGGCAAAGTCCTCAGCGCGGACTTCCTCCTCTTTGTCTATGCAGCGGTGGTGGACGTGTTGTGCGTGAATTATTTCATCGCAACGGTATATCCGCGGATGCTGTCAGTGCATCACCGCGACGCGAACATGCTCAACTCGACTTTTGCATTCCTCCTTCCGGCAGGAGAAGCAACATGTTTGTTTTTTTGCGGGTATAGGTACTGCAAACTAGCCATTAAATACCGGATCTCTGGTCGTGTTGACATGTACTGCTGTACTGTCCGAAACCCAACTCGCATTCCATCAGCTCTCGTTTAATCATTAATTTGCAGAACGACAACTCGAAGGTGCATCTACTGTCCTTCTTTTCGGCGATTTTGCTGTTTGCACGGTACCAGGGCAGTGTGTAAGCATGGAAGGCGTGGACAAAGCTCGCACAGCTGCTATGCCCTGTCCAGATAGAGTATGAAGCGATGACGCAGCAACAACCATCCCCCGGGCTGATGGCCCAGACAGCCCCGACAGCGCCCAACCCTGTCGAAACAGGATGTTGCACGCACTGCCAGAGTGCCCTCAGTTGATAAGCGATGCTGATGAGTGCACTGCAGGGCAAGGTGGCTCCTGAACTTCAGACGGCATTGAGCTACTAATAATACTGCAATAACTCTGCACTTAGGGCATGCATCTCTTGTGGTGTAGTGCATTCATGCACGTAGGAACAAGCGCATGCGGTCGGCCGGCAGCATCCCGGCTCGACCGCCTAAATTTCGAATCCCCCGCATTCTTTCGCCTCGCATCGCCAACATGGTCTCTTCTGGTGCCTCCTCGCCTGGGGCCTTCGCCGAGCGTTCGCCGACTTTGCGGCGATCGCCGGGCTCGACCTGGTGGCGGCTCCCACTCCTACGGCATCGTCGCTGGAAGATGGGCCTGCGACCGGCGCAGAGGGGATCGCCGGGTAGCCCATGCTGGACGCCTCGGCAGGTTTAGAGCCGGATGCTTCGTCTTCGCCTCCGTCTGGGGCGGCCCACCTGGGCCCTTTCGACTCCGCGATGTGGGCGTCCGGACGGATGGTGAGATCTTTATCCGCACCTTCATCGCCGGCCGGTGCGTCGACGGAAACTCTCACGCCTGCGATCCGGGCAAGTGACAGTTCAAGCAGCAACAAA